TCATAATAATTGTGGTCTAATTGCATATGAGATAAGTTGGCCAGTATGTTGATTTGTATTTGATAGATAAGGAGACTGAGGCAAAGAGAAGCTTGACATTTCTGAGTACTTTGACATCATTGACTGATGGCGGAAGTTACAAAATAATCCCACACGAATTCAGAAATACGTACAATAAAGGGTTATTTATTTAGGAGTAGACTCACAGATCACTGTCCTAGATCACAGTCCTCTGCACAAATGGGGAACAGGAACAGAGTCCAGCAGCCGGAAGTGAGAGCTGGAAGGAAGAGAACAAGCACAGGCTTTACAGCTGCATTTACAGTGTAAGAGACCATGCCCAAGCGGGCTGGTATCTTAAAGGTTATTGGCTGAAGGAGCTGAAGGAGCTCACACAGCAATTGACAGAGCAAGTGTCTGAACCTGATATTATGAGCTCACCCGCAGGGTTGTGATGCCAGGTGCTGAGCTCCTATTTAACATTATATAACTTTTTAAAAAACTGTACCAAAGTGAATTTAGCTTTTTGTGGAATATGAATATAAAACAGCTAAATCTGTGTTTCTTATAAGTTTAACTTGCTAATAAAACCAAGTTATAAGGTACAGAGCATTACACCACAAAAATCAGCTATAATTTTATATTTAATAAATTATGCTCTATTCTGTCAGAAATAATTTACACAGTATTTTCACTTTCCTTATTCTCATTTGATCCTCATAGCCTGCAGTGAATGATATCATTTATTAGGTTGTATTTACTGTTAGTCTGATTTTATAGAAGAAGAAATTGAGCCTGCATCATCTGAGGCTCTGATACTTGTCTACAGTCAAATTTTAAGTTTAGATTACTTACAAGATGAAGATATTAAACACTTGAAACTTGAAAATTTTACTCACTTTTGAAATTAGTGTATACTAGTTATACAAAACAATAGAGTTTGTTCTGAGATTGACAACCATTAAGACCTGTCTTAGAGAAAATGTCCTAATGGTAAACTCAGTTGTCATTTTTTCCAAGGGGTCACTAAAGTATTTTTATACTTGTGTTAGATAGTAGTCTTATTTATAAGCCTGAATAAGATTATGTTCCTTATGTTGTTCCTCAAAATACTTGGAATTTTAAAAAGTGAATCTGAGAAGATTATTATGGTTGTACCAGAAAGAACTATGATAGAGTTAATTATGTCTTGGCCGCAAGGTCTTCCATATATGATACAAAATGCAGAAGCCGTAAAAGAACAATTTGAGGCCAGGCACAGCATGCATGCCTTTAATCCCAGTTCTGTCACTTGGGAAGCTGAGGCAAGTAGATTTCTGAGTTCCAGGCAAAAAGCCCATCTTTAAAAAAAAAATAAAAGAAAATTGAGTATATATTGCATAAGAATTTCTACCATACACAGAGTCCACTGAAAGTGTTGCTCTTCAGACGGTGTGGCTTATACAGAAGGACTCTAGCAAATCAGGAGGATGTGTTTATGTGAGCAACAAAGGGAACAGAGCTCAGAGGAAGCATAAGCTACTTTTAGCTATGTGGAAAGTCCTTAGTTTTACCATGGAGTGTCATCGTTGCCTCTTAGATTAGCAGAGCTAAAGTTTCAGCACTAGTGTGCTGGACAGATGGCAAGTTCATGCCATGCTAGTGAGACCATGATCCAATGTGGTCTTAGGAAGGTGGGCTGTTATCTGTTAGAAAGCAACGCTTCGTTGCCAGCATTTTGTTTTGTAGATAACAAGCAGCCGTTCAAAGGAGCATATATGCAACACCAGTCTTGTAGCGTTAGCGGTCACTGCAGATTGAAGCCCGGTATGGTACCTGCACTTAGGTCTTTTCAAAACAAAATCTTTCTCCTTTCTTCTTGGTTTTGCTAGCTCCTGGTTTACTGTTTATTTCAGAGTACTATGTGAAAAATAGAAACAGCTAATCTTGTTAGTTGTACTGAATAGATATCTACATTTGCAAATTTATTCAGGAAAGGGATTTAATGGGAAAGAATGTTGAGTAACAGTTGGCAGTTGCATGGCTAGAAAGCTCAACTTGGAAAATGGTAGCCAGTGTTAAAGATGAAAATTTTTATAATATGGATTTTTTGAAACTGTTTGAAATGTCTTTGTAACATAGTATATTATAAATAATTGTTTCTCTTTTTCATTAAGTAATAAATACTCTTCATTAGGTGGGTACATATATATATGTAAATATGACCAATGTAATATTTTGCATTTTTCTGTTTATTTTTTGCTGCTCTTTTGGTTTGCTTAATGCATGATTTTACTTGTGGTATATTAAATTTCTTACCATAATTTTATATTAATTTCTCTTTAAATTTTGCTTGTGTGCTGTGTTGTAGGTTCTTACAAATTCATGACTGTTTCCTTATTAATGAATATTTTGTGTTTTTAGGTAAGAAAGGAAACATACTAGCTTCCTTTCTGTTATGAAATACTGACTAAAATTAAGTTAGAGTAGAAAGGGGTTTCCTTTAAACGCCTATTCAAGCAGAAACTTAGAGTAGAAACCATGGAGGAATGCTGCTTGCTGGCTCAGGTACAGATTTACATTTATTAGCTTCTGTACACAGCCTAGAATACCTGCTCAGAGAATGGTGATGGGCTTATTCCCACAGTGGATTGGGTCCTCCTGCATCAGTTCACAGTTAGGACCGTCTTCCACAGGTGTGCCAGGAAGACTGTTCAGGAGGGCACTGCTGCAGTGCTTTCGTAGTAGGCAAGAGAGATTGGCCTTAATTTGGAAAGAATTGCCTTTTAAATCATTAAATAATTTCTCTTTTTCCTCCTGTTAAAAATTTCTCTTCCATTTTTGCCATGTTCCTGTGGTGTTGTGGTAAGCAAACCGTTGGACTCCCAGTTGCCTGCCTCAGTTGTAGGATGAGTTGGTGCCTACTGTGACGTTTCTGTGAACGTTTCACTGACATGTGTGAAGAGGTTTTCAATACCTGTGTCTGAAGTATTTTTTTTAAAAAAGGATGTTTTCTGTGATGAGTGTTTGGCCTGCAGGTATTTTTGTATGTATATAACACGTGTGTCTGGTGCCTCTAGGGACCTGAAGACAGCTTGGATTCCTTGGAACTGGAGTTACAGATGGCTGTGAGCCACTGTGTAGGTTCTGGGAACTGAACCCAGGTCCTCTTAAAGAGCAGCTGATGCTCCTAACAGCTGACCCATCTCCAGCCCCTAAAGTACTTTTTAAAAAGGAGTTTTTCTATCTTTTCTCTTCTTCTCTTCTCTGTTAAGAGCATCAGCTTTTAAATGCACTTCTTGTAAGTGGAATGCACTTTGGGGTACGACTGAAACAGTTATCAGGCCTTGAGGTGGGTGACAGTTGTCTGTCTTCTTTGTGGGTGGAGGTCTTTACGCCACTGTTTCTAAGTAGCTTCTTATTCTTCAGTATACTTTCTTTTGGAAATAGCTGAGACTACTGAAAAGGGACAAAAGGCTTTTGAGGAACTTACTTTTTCTAGAACCAACACTGGGAGGTAGAGTTATCAATAAATTGTAAAACTGTTGCTATAGTTAGAACACTAAACATCTCGAGGCCATAAGCTATTATATTTATAGAAATAAAGTGTGTACCCCTCTATCCTTTCTTTTTCTTTCTTTCTTTCTTTTTTTTTTTTTTTTTGGTTTTTCGAGACAGGGTTTCTCTGTAGCTTTGGAGCCTGTCCTGGAACTAGCTCTTGTAGACCAGGCTGGCCTCGAACTCACAGAGATCCGCCTGCCTCTGCCTCCCAAGTGCTGGGATTAAAGGCGTGCACCACCACCGCCCAGCCCCTCTATCCTTTCTAAAATTAGGTTCCTGCTCTGTAGTCCAGGCTATTCTTGAATTTATGGCAGTCCTGCTTTTGGCTCCTGAGTGCAGGGATTCCAGGCGTGTACCTCCCTGGTTGGCTCTCCTTTTTTTGATAACATTTAAGACTTAACTTTTATTCCTGTTCCAAGTTTTTCATTTTTATTGTCCATTTGCATAACTACCATGTATTTTATGCATCTTATAGTCCTCCTGTCTTCAATTTAGAAAATATACAGAATGGAGAGAAGATAAAATTTTAGATGGGGAAACAGCATACAAATTAACGTATATGGTTTCTGTTTTGAAGCTAATTATTCAAGGATTGAGCAATGTAGTGATTTTGTAGATGATCAGTTAATGGAACACCTTGAAGAGCACGCTGGGAAGTAGTGTCTTTGTTCCTTAGGCTCATGAGAGGCACGGAAGACTTTGGGGGCTAAAGAAAATATGTTACGTACTGAAAAAGACTATTTCTGTGTGTGTGTGTGTGTGTGTGTGTGTGTGTGTGTGTGTGAGAGAGAGAGAGAGAGGGAGAGGTGACACAGGGGCTTCAAATATAGCTTTCTTTGTAGTCTTTTGACATGTTTATCAGCGATCGTTTTCCAAACCACTCTGTATAAAACAGACTTTTCCTTCCACCCTACATTGACTTCCTCGCCATAGCATTTACTGTCACTACTCAGAAGTAAACGCTTGTTTACCTGTGTTGGCTCCTCCACAAGATTGCAATTCATGACACAAAGACTGTACTTGTTCATATTTCTTTCAGTGCTTAGAACAGTCCTGATTTATAACCTTTAGTAAATATTGACTTAATGAATAAGGGAATATTCAAACTAAGATACCCATACTTAGCACACACCTTTTATCTCAGCACAGAAGCAGAGACAGGCAGAGTTCAAAACCAGCTTGGTCTACATAGTGAGTTCCAGCTAGAGCTATATACTGAGACCCTATATCAAAAAACAAACCAATACAAACAAACAAAACTTAGACCAGGCTGGTCTCGAACCCACAGAGAACTGCCTGCTTCTGCCTCCCTAGTGCTGGGATTAAAGGCATGCGCCACCACCGCCCGGCTTACAAAACATAATTTTTAACGTGACTTATAATGTGGTGGTCAGCAGTAGAATATTATCATGCTTCCATCTTACAAAACTCTATTTGAAAGTATTTTCCTTTTCCTCCAGAGTTTATATTCAGAGCACCAATCAAATTAAGCAAGCCTGGAGAACTTCGTGAGGAGTATGAATGTCTAAGAAAGGTACAGTGTACATATTAGCATGGTATTTATTTTCTTGAAATTAACTGAAATATTGACATTAAAGAATGCTTACTTTTGATTCATTGGGCCTTTAAAATTTTACTCTTCGTAGTCTGCCTTTCTATATACTATGTTATAACAGCCCATATAGATTTAAAGCCACACTAGAAGTGAACTTAACTCAGATCTTTTGAGTTGTCTTTTCACAGGTGAAAGTGTAACTTAGAGGGGCTATCACATCCTTCCAAGAAACGTGTTCTCGACACTTAGCACAGCTCTTGCTAATAACTGTTTGTGTTAGTTTTCCTTGTGAGCACTTCTAATTACTTGCAACTACTTTTATTTTTATAGTTTTTACTTTACTAAGTACTCCAGGAGAATTGTAATGGAGGCTGTAGGACATGTGCCAGTCACCACATGGCCCTTCCTGCCATGAGTGACTGTATCCTTCCATAGTGTCACACAAAATGAACCTTTTCCTCCTTGAGCCACTTCTTCCAAGCATTTATCACTGTGAGAAAAACAATCGCCACATTTTGCCTTTATTCTATGACAATGCCTGATTCTGATTAAGTAGATTATTTACCTTTATAAAGTAATGCCCACATGCAGAATTATTACCTAATTATTCACAAGCCTAAGTGAGCAGTTGAAACAATCTCTTAATTACAAAATACTATTCGGGAAGCTTTTAACTGTTATAGTAATTTTTTTTTTCAATATTGGAGTTTGAATTTAGGGCATGGTGGATGTACTCTGACACTGAACTCCAGCTTCAGCCTGTAACTGTTGTTTTTGTTTGTTTGTTTTAATTTCCAACTAATTGTCTGAGATTGGCCTACAGAAATTGGATGTCAACCCTCCCTAGTTCTCTCCCTGCACGACAATTGCTCACTCGTGGTGGGAAGGGCATGGCTGGCTAGACATTTCTTCCATATAGCCATGTGCACGTACACACACACACACACACACACACACTCACAGAGTCTTCAGTGTGTTTATTGAGCACCAGGTATGATCACTGGAGATACAGTGTAAAAGAAGACACACAAGGTTCTTGTCTTCAGGGAGATTCCTTTTTGGGGATAAGACAAGAAATAAGCAACCATGATTTCACATAGTAAAGCAGTCAGAAGTGTCAGAAAGCAGTGGGAGGGAGCATTAGAGCAGTTTTGGAAAGAGGGTTAGGGAAGTTACTTCAGAGGCAAGACTGCGTCCTGAAAGAAGCAAATCAGGTAAAGCGTGAGAAGGCGCCCTGCAGAGGCCTAGGGACCAGCAGTTGGGTGTGGTCAGTGCACAAGGGCTTTGGTGTGTCTGAACATACAAACGTGAGCAGGACGGAAGCAGGTGAGGGTTATAGGAAATGAGTTGAGAGATGTTGAAGGGCCAGGGCAAAGATGTAGTTAACCTGGTAAAGAGCCTAATGCAATCTTACATGCAAGTTTAAAGTGTCTCTAGTTACTATGTTAGAAATAGAATAGGCCAACAAATCAAGAATTGTATTTATTGTAGATAGTAGAAACTCTAAAATAACAACTCACAGTATGTAAGAATGGTTTTCTTCTTTTGTTCTTGCCATAAAAACAAAGAAAATGACTATGTGAGTTGATCTAAGTGTGTTGACTGTCTTACTATCTATGTGTATCCTATGATATCATGCGGGACACCTTAAATATACCAATAAAACATTATTTTAAAGATAATAAGACTTTTTATTATCCTTGGGTCACACAAACATGGAAGGCAGGTAGTTCAGGGCAGAGCACAGCAGTATTATGACTCAGGGCTGTGAATTACTTTGTTTTTGTGTTTGCCTATCTCCAGGAGTGCTGTTTTCCTTGTGTGAACGGGTGACCCTTCTAGAGCCACATCTATTGAGTGAATTGGGTCCTTTGAAAGATCTTTCCCTGACTCATCAGGATTGTAAATTCTAATGTCACAGATCTGTTGTAGGGAGCCTGGGAAGTATAGCATTTTAGCAAGTATGTGAATTTCCTGAGTAAAATCAAGATTTCTTTTGTAAGAAAAGAAAGCATAGATCCTGGCTGGAAACTTGCAGTATCTGCCTCATACAATAGAAATAGACCAAATAGAATACTTTTTCTTAATCTTAAGTTAAACCACGGTTAAAGTTTGTCTAAAAGTTTGGTAGAAAGGGTATAGTAGATTAGAAGATGTATACAAAGAAGTTATTGGAGTTGCATGCTGTTGCTTTGTTTTTGAAGTACAAGTCTTACTGTGAGGCCCAGGTTGGTCTTGTACTCAGGCCTTCAGCTCCCAAGAAGGTGAAATTATAGTATGTGGCACTGTGCCCACTAGTTGTTAAGGCTTTGGTCGTGGATCTAGGTTTATTAAAGAAGGGACTTGAAGGCATAATGGGTAGGGATAAAAAATGAGCTGTCAGGTTTATTATCAAGAAAGAACTGCAGAAGATAAGGTTGCTAGCATAGGAGTAAAGTTGAGAAGCTAGGGTATAGTGGTCTAATTGTGATTTTACTAAAACTTGGACATTTTACTCAATCTATTTGGCGGTATATATGTTGTGTCATAACCTAATTTTAAACTAGCTTTTCCCTTATTTGTTTTCTGTTTCTTTGCTTATTTTAGAAAACACTTGCAACAACCTAGGGAGTTTAAAACATGTTCTCTCATATTACAGAAGCAGCAGCTGGTTGGCCTATTTTAAAGTTTTTTCTATAGTGTTTTTAAGTATAAATGTTTATTCAGTTGTTGGTTATCTAATCCTAAAGCCTCTCCTGTATGAACAGTGATTTATGTAACAATGTCCTTGGTTTGTGATAGGACAGGATGCATTTTAAGATTTCTAGTGTTCTTTGTCTATTCTATCTGCTATTTTTTCCTCTAGAACATTACATACTGTTTGAGAAAAATGCCCGTTTCTGACATGTGCTGGTGTTCTTCTTTCTAGAGACAGAGAAATAGTGCAGAGCCTTATGATCTGAGAACAGGCAAATGCCTGGTACAAGGGAAAGAAAGCCCCTAAGAATGTACTTTAATCCTCACCACACAAAGGAAGACTGTCTCTATAGGATGGGTGCTTAAACTTGCAACTACACAGATGGGAACAGCTTTTTCGAGTAATGTACTTTTTGGAAAAAAATAACATAACACAAGACATGCAGAGTGTGATCAGATTTAGAGTAACAAGTATTCAAGTTATTTATGAAATGTGATATTTTTGCCTTTCTACTTTCATATTTATGAGACAGGATCAATACTTATAAGATTACTATATTAAAATAATTGTTATGGCTTAGAGAATAATTTAAATAAAATCATCTCAATATTACTTGCAAACCAAACAGAGGAATCATCTATCTGTAACTATTTAGCCTCTAGTATAAATAAAATACTTTGTTAAACTATCTACTTAATTAGACTTTGTAGTACTTTGAATGAAAATGGCCCCATTGGCTCATAGGGACTGGCACTATGGGGAGGTGTAGTGGTGTTCAAGGAAGTGTGTTGCTAGAGGTAGGCTTTGAGGTCTCAGAAGCTCAATTCAGGCCTAGTGTATCTTGGTCTCTTCCTGTTGTCTGTGGACCCAGATGTAGAACTCTCAGCTTCTTCCATGTCTGTCTGCATGCTGTCATTCTTCCCACCATGACGATAATAGATTACACCTCTGAACTGTAAACCAGCTCCAATTAAATAACTGCCTTTATGAAAGTTTTTATGAGCTGGGCGGTGGTGGTGCACGCCTTTAATCCCAGCTCTCAGGAGGCATAGGCAGGCGGATCTCTGTGAGTTCGAGGCCAGCCTGGTCTACAAGAGCTAGTTCCAGGACAGGAACCAAAAGCTACGGAGAAACCCTGTCTCGAAAATTCAAAAAAAAAAAAAAAAAGTTGCTGTGGTTATAGTGTGTCTCTTCACAGCAATAAAACCCTAAGACAGAAGTTGGTACCAGGGACTGGGGTATTGCTGTGATAGGCCTATGATGCTTTTCTTTGGAGGAATTTGGACTTTGAACTTTGGGTTAGAAAAGCAGTTAAATAAATGTTTTAAGTAAGGCTTAAAGGGCCATCCTAGTCGTTCAAGATAATTTGAACTGTGGGGGCCCAGCTCGAGTTTCACAGAAGACTATTAATATGTGGCCTGGAGACCCTGGCTGCTTTCTGCCCTTGTCCAAAAAGCAAAAATAGAAAACAAACAAACAAACAAAAAAACAAACAGTCTGAGGCTAAATTATAGAGTTTCGATTAACTGCTTTGGTGGAGGACATTTCAAAACAGCCTGGCAATAGCTGTGTTGCTTGGTTACTAGTGGCCAGTCTTAAGCAGATCTATAATGAAAAGGAGCAAGCTGAGCAAGGGAAAATTCAAAACATGAAGTTTGAAAAGAAAAGGAGCACCAGGAAGAAGTTTAAAGAAAAGCCTGATGCCAGAAAGAATAAATGGAGTGATGACTCTGATCAGGGCCAGACCCCACCCAGCTAAGCTTCCAGTTTGTGAAAAGGAATTAAAGAACAGTTTAGGTCAAGGCATGGCAGCACATGCCTTTAACCTCAGTACGCAGGAGACAGGCAAGCAGACCTCTGAGTTAAAGGCCGACCTGGTCTACAGATTCAGTTTCTGGAAGCCAAGCTTAGGCAGTGAAGGAACCATTGAAAACAGAAAGCTGGTGAAGATGTAATTGAATGAGGAGGCCGTGTTCCAGCCCCAGAAAGCAGCAAAACTTGGCAGCTGAGGCCACATTGTTCTGGCTTTAAAGTCAAAGATAGAAGAAAGGCTTTATAGGATCTTCCTCCACAGCAAAGGAAAGCCACCAAACCCAGACATTTGTCAGGGGTGTCCCTGCATGGAGGCCGAGAGAGGCCATTGTATGAAGCTGTAAAGGTGAATCTTGGATTGCCTGAAGACTTCAAAATGTTGGAGATGCCAGAGCATGAGATATGTGCCAAAGAGAACTGCTAACAGGAAGTAGAACTAGCCCGGAAGAGAGAATCGCGTTGCAGTTAACAGAACCGAAAGGAGTGAAGA